CAACTTCTCCGCGCTCGGGCTGGAGCCGGGGCGCGACGTGGAGCTGGGGCAGCTGGAGCAGGAGAGCTGCCTGGATGGCTGGGAGTTCAGCCAGGACGTCTTCCAGTCCACCATCGTGACCGAGGTGGGTGGCAGCCGCTCTCCGGAGTTGAGGCTGGGACCCGGGAAGAGAGCACCCTCCTTGTGTGTCAGCCCCTCTTGAGACTCCCTGGCAACACTTTTGTCGGCGTCCTCCTCCCCCTCAGAGCTGCGGTTACCTAGCAACAGGTGTGCAGTCCTGCAGACTTACTCGAAGCTTTCCTGTCCAGTGTGAGACGAATGGAGAAAGGAGCATTGTCACCAACTGTCTTCCTTTCCGAGTTTCACAACGCATGAAATTGTTTCCTAAGAACCTAGCGTCCCACCCCAGGCTGCGGTGATGTACACAGCCTGAGTCACCTTCCTGCCAGGGATGAGGAGGGGGTGCGGAGGACTCTGCTGAGTCCAAGTGCAGACACAGAAAAGGGCTCCAGTCCCGAGACCCAGTTTCTCCAAAAGGGAGTAGATCCCCACCCGCTCCCTGCCTGGCGCTGGTTGGGTGCCAGGAACCAGAGGAAGTGGAACCCGGCCCGGCTTTCACGGAGAGACAGGCTCACAGAGACTTCTCTGAACTAGTGCCCTTCGGTAGGTGGAGGCCCTGCGGCATCCTCAGGCTTGGTGTCTGGTTCCCTCAATTTCAGGCATCTGGGCTATACTCTGCCACTGTGTTTTCTGCTCTGTATCTGATAATGATCAGGGCCTTGGAGGCCAGAGGGCACCCTGCTTCTGAGAAAGCATCTTCCCCAGCTGCTGGTCCTTCCTGTGGCTGATCAGGCATGTAGGATTTCCCACCTTTCTGCCCCTTTTCTATTCTGTGTTCTTCTTGAAAGAACAGCTGCAAGCTTCTGCTAGTTGCTTATCTCTCCCTTGCAGTGCACCATGGCACTCATCAGACAATCTATCTGACCTCATCCTGGACCCTAGGATCTCGACATCTGGGCCGTAGTCCTGTCCTCAGAGCTCAAATGTCCACGAGGCACACCGGCTGTGTTAGAAAAGGTTAATGTTAATCCTAGATGCTCCCAGCACTAGTGCTGTGTCTTCCTCGGGCCCCAATGTGGCTGTGTTCTCTGGCTTTGATTCTCTATCAGGGATTCCTACTGCTAGTCTAACCCTGTCCACAGCTTTGGCCCTGGGGGACATCTAAGGCTGGAAGGCAGCTCATTCCACCTCAATTCCTGACATGCCCTCAGCACCCGAGCTGGAGGCTGGACCCACAGGCTGCAGTCTTCCGAGACAATAGGACTGACCACTCTGCTTTTCCCTTCCTCACTGGCTTTGTTCACCTCAGGATGTGAAGAGAGGTGACAACTGGCCTGCAAGTTCCCTTTCACAGGGGCCTGTGAGCAACTCTAGGAATGCACACCCCACACTCCCATGTGTGCACCAGAATCTGCTTTTGTGTGTGGTATTGTCACTGTGGGTGATGGGATCCAGGGCAGTTTCCTAGATTCTTGTGCACAAGGAACAGAGAATTGGATGTGGCATGTGAGGGTAAGGAAACAGCAGCAAAGTTTACTAAGGCAGTAATACGTTCTGCGAGAGCAGGCTCACACTGGTGAAAGGAAGATGGCACGAGCGCGGAGGGTATACAGCGTGGGGTGAAGTTCTGGGACGCCTCCCTTTGGAGCTTTTCAGAGTGTGATTGACAAGATGCTGAGTCATGTGTCTGTGGTTCTGTAATTCACTCTGTTATCATTCATTGGATGTCTGAGATGTAGTTCATATGCGTGAACCTTCAGTGAGCTCCAGCTGACAAAAGGTGACTCTGGGTCATGCAGGCGGAGCTGGTGCATGTGCATCCTGGTTTGGCATTTTGGAATTTTCCAGGACAGGACTGAGGAGGGAGGCCTCTGTTTTTCTTATCTCTACCACCTTATAGTCAGCCTTAGGACAAAGGTGAGGGGTTGGCTCAAGGTCATTGCCCAGGCTCAGGTGAATGGAGGGGAGTGGCTCCATAGCCCCTAGTGGTCGCATCTGTGTTAGTACTGGCGGCAAAACCCAGGGCCTCATATGTGCTAGAGAGTGCTCTACCACTGGAATATACCCATATCCTTTTTTATTTTCTTTTGAGATAGGGTCTCATGAAGTAGCCCAGGCTGTCCTCAAGCTTGTGATCTTCCTGCCTCGGCCTCCCCAGTAGCTGGTTTTACACATGTGCATCACCACACCTAGCCTACTTTTTACAGCCGTCTTTCCTTTCCTTGCTTGCTTTTTAGGTTGTGGGTGGGAGTAGAATAAAAAGTAAATGGACACCAGGGGCTAGAAGGAAGCAGGAGGGAAATGAACACCAGGGTGAGTAAGATGGGGTGGCTTTCCCCAGAAGGAGGCACAAGGAATGCTGGGTGGCTACTAACAAAAATAAAAATAGAAAATAACCAATGTTGATGAGGACACAGAGAAAGTGAAACCCTTGTGCACTACTGGTGGGAATGTGTGCTGGTTGGCCTTCTGTTACTGTAACAAATACCTTAAAAGGGGATAGGTTGGGCTGGGGATTTAGCTCAATGGTACCAACCCCGCCGGGCAAGCGCAAGGTCGTAAATTCAATCCCCAGTAGCACTACCAAAATAAAAAGAGACGAGGTTTCAGAGGTTTCATGCATAATTAACTGGCTGTGCTGCTCTTGGGTCTGTGGTGGAGAAGCATCTTGTGGTGGGGAGTGTGTTGTGGAGCAAAGCTGCTTACCTCATGAAGGCAACACAAAGGGGAGAAGAGACAGGGCCCCCACAACCACTTTCAAGGGCGACCTAAACCCCACTCCAGGCTTAAAGTTTCCACCACCTCACAATAGTAGTGTTATACTCAAAACCAAGCCTTCAACATACGTTCAAGAACCCAGCTAGAGCAGAGTGTAATGCAGTACTGCTACTGTGGAAAGCACTGTGGTAGTTCCCCAACAAAATTAAAAATAGAATTCTCATACAGTCCATCAATTCCACTTCTAGGCATATACACAAAATAATTGAAAGCAGGGTCTCAAAGAATACTTGTACACAGCAGCATTATGTGCAGTAGCCAAAAGCACCTCATTATCTCTCAGCAAGTGCATGGATAAACAAAATGTGGTATACAGTTTGCCAAAACAAGGTATACCCACTTCAGCAGTTCACCATACTAATAAATGTCTGGAAGCTAATAGCCACCACTGTGAGCACCTCTTGTATTTGCAGAGGCCAAAGGCAACTTGTCTTAATCTCATGATGTCTCAGTAAATTTAGTATTGAAATATTGATACAAGTTTTTCTTTTGGTGCCAAAATTATATATACATCAGGAAAA